TGGCAAGTAGCCGTGAACATTTGCTGCACCACCAACAAATTGAGTTTAGTAATTTGACCAAAGGATAAGAAAATCTAAAGTTCTAGAAGCTGCAAATTGAACCTGCATGATTTTGAAAATAGAGTCTCGTAGCTGCAAATCCAGTGCTACAAAAAAAAGGCAGAAATCTAAGAAAACCTAGTGTACATCTAGAATTAATACCTTCTAATCAAAAGAAGTTCCACGATTTGAAAAAAGAAAGAAAATTACAGTACCAAAACAGAATACAGACACGTTTCAGTTTGGTTCCCAAGAAAATACTGCAAAGCTATCGCTGCATACTCCTGCAATGTAAAACAAAAAGGATCTATAATAAGAAAGACTTTAAAGAGTAACTAAAAGAATCAAATGAAAATAATAAGCAACAAAGACTGTTACCGTGATATGTTTAAACACATGATGAATAGAAAAACCCCTTGCATGCACATAGCTTTTGCTTTGTTAAGTAGCGCACAGTTAAATACACTAAGCCAGATGTATTAAGGAACTATAAAACTGGAATATGTAAATGTAAAGTTCAAGCAAATTTATTAAGAAATAACAAATTTAAGTCTCCTTATTATTATCATTAAAAAACAAGTCATATACACATTCGAGAGAAAATAAGTGAAGAACAACTAGGGAATAAGACATTCTCCAAAATCAAGTAAAAAGTATGAGAACACCATCTGTCTCTATTAAATCAGAAATAGAAACTCCCTTGAAACAGCCATGGGCTGGGCACCAAAGCTACCATCATCACAAGATTCCCAACACAAAGCTACCAGTGGAAAAGTGGGACTGTAACCATTTGACCATTTTCTTTTTTAAACGGAACCTAAAAATCCACAAAAAAATAAAAGGATATCAACCAAACATCCACATATAACAATACAAGTTACTATGATGCAACGAAAATCTGATCTATTGAAAAATCAACTGCATAAGTTACTTTCTTATTAATTAATTTCTTGGTTAAGCTTACCAAAATAAGTTACTTTAGTTTATTTCAATAAGTTTCATGGTTAAATTTATGAGATGAGCTCTCACATTAAACAATCTTATTAATTAATTACTTGCTATCATGCGAATAATACTCAGTTGTCAAAAGTTTTAAACAATCTTGGACAAAAATAGTAGAGTATACTTTATTGACCAAAATGTCAAAGAAAACAAATTAATCATGGTTACAACTATAAAAATGAATCCATAATAACCAGGAACATTCACAATTATTAACAATAGCTTCTAACACTAATTAAAGGTTCAAACTATCATGAAACAGAAAATACATGGAAATCAAATTTTCTTATAGAGCTTAGCTTATGCCCTGTAAGCAGTTTTGGGTAAAAGTCATATCCAGGCACACAGTCAAGTCAGAAATTAAATCTTCTTTAGCTAGGATAACACACTTTGAATAGAATCTGAAATCACTTTGGATTTGTACAAATTAGGGGCAGAGTTATATGGAAAAAGAACTAAAATGTCATGTTTGTTAATTAGGTATGCAAAATCTAAAACAAATCCTTGTATGCAAGGAAGAGAGGTAGAAACACAAAAGCCATTCCAAAAATTCTTACGAAGAAATGCACAAATCCCTCATACGCAAAATTTCACAAACACGACAACTAACTAAGCTACCGAAAAGCAATAAGAGTTCAATTTGTTGTAGTAAATAATGTAAGAAAGCAATAAGAATTCTTTTTGGTATTTTTGTAATCACTTAGGGTACAAAACTTGATTCTAAAGCAATATTAATAGATGTTGGGGTTTGACTTTACTAAACCTTCCTCTCATGTTTATCACTAAGCTCACAATAGTCATCATTCAGAATTTATTAATCACTCTAAAAAAATAACCAACCCTAATCTCTTACAAGTTAGCATCTAAGTTGCTAACTTAAACTATCAATCTCTTGCATAGTTTAACCAAAAAACCAACTTTAAAAACCAGAGCTTAAGAAAGACTAATGGCATTTACTCTATCTCTAGCAATAAACACCATTAACTGCTTTATTTCATTTCAAAGGTTTAAAATCATTTCTCAATCTCTTAAAAACCTCAAGTTCAAGTTAAGGGTGATTAAGTCATAACAAGCATTATGCAGAGAAACAGAGAAATAAAACTGAATAACAACTGAGATTCATTACTTAGAGTTTACACATGAGAATGGGTTTAGTTACATCAAATCCCAACCAGGGTGACATTAGCTACACATAGACATGTAGAACTCTACAAAATGATGAAGAAAGGAAGAAGCTTGATCTTGAAGGTTCTAAAACTCTCCAGCCGCCACACAGACTCCAAGAATGATTCCTCTTACTTCTCCCTCGAAAAATCCTCTTTTAGGTCATAAAAGCTTTTATCTTATGTGAATAATGACATGTCAGCACAATTCACGCTAAGTGTGAGATGCCACACTAAGCTTGAAGGATAGGTTTGGAAAGAAATGATGTTCTAGGACTCTCACGCTTAATTCCAATTCCACGCTCAGCTTGAGGATTGAATTTTGTTCCAGTGATTCTCTACCAAGTTGAGGCTAAGCGTGGATCTGAGGCTTAGCTTAGAGACTTAACCAAAAATTCCTTCTGCTTTGAGTTCACCACTTTGTCCTTTACTTCCTTCCTTCTTTCCTAGCTTTCTCCTAAACTACAAAACAACAATCAAATACTTGTAAGTTACCTAAAAACATGATTCAAATACAAAATGTGATCACCTAACAATTTAGATATGTTTTGAGTTAAAAACAAGATCTAAAGCAAAGAAAATTGATATAAGTGCTTCAAATTAGGTCATAAACTTAATGAAATCATAGCACTTATCAATAGCGTTGCCGAAACACAATAAAAAATTACTAGATTTTCCCTAAGATATGTAATATAGGGAACAACCTAGGTCATTATTCTCAAAGATACAAGTCAATTGAATCTAAATTTATTACACAATTGTTAGTAAGGGGATTTAGCACAGCAAAATATTTGTAATTGCAAAATGCAAAATCAAAAATTCAATAAAAAATTTTAATTGAAATATGTATCGATTCAAGATTTTAATTCTTGAGCTGAAATTTTCATAGTTTAAAATCTAACCAAATTCAATTAACCTTAAATTAATACGAACATAATTAAAATGTAGATCTAAATCTAGATCTGTTGAATTTCGTAAAAATGTGAAACGCAATCGTGTCTCACAATTTCTATGAAATTCAAGAATAGTGAATAGTTGATTTAAGTTATTTTATGTCTAGATCTAGATCCAAAATTAAAATTCAAAATCAAAATACAAGGTTATATAGGCTCAAAGGAGGTAACACGGTAAAAAAAATGCTAGATAGGTCATTTTGGCTAATGGCCTATAAAGAAAGAAGGCCAAAATCATATCAATAATACAACTTGAAAAAGAGAATGATTTTATTATTTTCATTCGTACCTATTACATTCTCATTACACCTATTTCTAACAATATAATCTTCCAAAGTAAGAAAATAAGAAAAAATATGTTGAAAAATAAATAGAAGATTCTACAAATATTTTCTCTAATTAGGAAGATATTTTCTCTAATTATAACACTCTCCCTCAAGTTGGTAAATGGATATCAACCATTCCCAACTTCCCTACAAAATCTTGAAATCTACCCTGAAGGAGCCCTTTTGTAAAAATATATGCTATCTGAAGTTGTGTAGGAACATGAGTTATAATGACAAAGCCTCTGTCTAGATTATCTTTGATGAAATGTCTGTCAATCTCAATGTGTTTGGTTTTGTCATGTTGTACTGGATTATGGGAAATGCTCATGTCAAACTTATTGTTACAGTATAGTTGCACGAAGTTGTCCACCTTGACTTTAAGGTCAACAAAATGATTTTCTTCCAGAGTCTTTCACACACTCCTCGAGCAAGGGCTCTAAATTAAGCTTCTGCACTAGAACGAGATACTCTATCTTGATTTTTGCCCCTCCACGTTATCAGACTATCTCCAAGAAACATACAATACCCAGAAGTAGATTTTCTGTCAGTGATAGAACTTGCATAGTTAGCATCAGTATATATTTTCATAGTCAACGTGTCTTCCCTTTTGAACAATAGCCTTTTTCTTGCTAGACTTGACTTCAAGTACTGGAGAATTTTGTCAATTGATTGCATGTCTCTCTCTCTTGGGTAATGCATAAACTGACTTACTACACTAACTGCATAAACAAGGTCTGGTCTTGTGTGTGATAGATAAATCAATTTTTCTACAAATTTCTAATATTGAGCCTTCTCTACAGGAGTACTTTCTTCACTTTCAATTCTAAGATTCAATTCTATAGGAAATGTTGAGGTTCTACATCCTAGCTTACTTGTTTCTTTGAGGAGATCAAGTACATATTTCCTTTGGGAGATGAAAATTCCATTCTTGGACTAAATAGCCTCTATTCCAAGAAAGTACTTGAGTTTTCCTAGGTCTTTCGTTTCAAATTGGGCTGCCAAATTTTATTTTAATGGCATTTTTTTTGTTTCATCATCTCCTATAATAATCATATCATCCACAAAGACAAGCAGTAGAGTGAGTTTACCTATAGGAGAGTGCTTTATGAATAGAGTATGATCTCCTTGGCTTTGTTTGTATCCCAAGGAAACCATTGCTTTTGTAAATCTTCCAAACCATGCCCTAGGGGATTGGTTAAGACCATATAATGCTTTATTTAGGAGGAATACCTTGTTTCTTTCATTCTAAACTTCAAAACCTAGGGGAATCTCCATGTACACTTCCTCTTCCAAATCTCTATGAAGAAAGGCATTATTCACATCCAATTGGTGTAAGTCCCAACCAAAATAAGCAACCAAAGCGAGAAAAACTTGAACTATACTCATCTTTGTCACTGGGGCAAATGTCTCCTCATAGTCAATCTTATAAGTTTGGGTGTAGCGCTTTGCCACCAATCTAGCTTTATATCTTTTTGTTGTCCCATCTGCCTTATGTTTCATTGTGAATATCCATCTATATCCTACAACCTTCTTGTCTCTTGGCTTATCAACAATCTCCCAAGTTAAATTTCTTTCTAATGCATTCATCTCTTCTTTCATGGCTTGAGTCCAATGTTCAATTTTCATGGCCTCCTGGATTGAGGTAGGAATTTTGGTGGCATCAATGGCAGCAATAACACTTCGATGCTTATCAGAGAGATTGTTAGTGCAAACATATAAAGAAATAGGATATTTAGCACGTGACCTTCTTTCCTTTCTCAATGCAATGGGTAAATCCTTAGTAACACTTACCTCCTCACTATTATTTTCAGGGATCCTCACCTCCAGATTAGACAATTTTTCTTGCTCTAGAGTCGAAGTGAGTTATTTTCTTCTTTCATATTTTTTACCAAAAAATTTGTCTTCTTCCTCACCATGGGCCATGGTAGCTTCATTGCTTATATCTTGGGCATCCTACAAAGACAAATATGGTGATGACAAGAAGGAGAGCTCCTCCACTTCAAGTGCTTTCTCCCTCTGAAGTGGCGGGCTGACATAAAAGGATTGTGTTTCATGAAAGGTGACATCCATGGTGATAAAGACGCAGTGACTCTGAGGATGATAACATTTGTATCCTTTTTTATTAGAAGGATACCCAATAAAGACACATTTAAGAGCTTTGGGATCTAATTACTATTATTAGGATGATGAGAGTGAACAAAAATAGTACATCCAAAAACTCGTCTAGTAGACTCGATACTAGGGGGAAGAGGGAACAAAAGACAGTAGTGACTCTATAGGACTAATCCCATTTAAGATACGGGTGGGTAACCTATTAATGAAATACATGGCAGTTAACATAACTTCTCCCCAGTAATTTTTAGGAACAAACATTTGAAAAAGAAGGGCTCTAGCTACTTCAAGAAGATGACGATTCTTTCTTTCTACAACCTCGTTTTGTTGAGGGGTGTTTACACATGTCAATTCATGAACAATACCATTATGAGACAAAAAATTAAGAAATTCATGATTCACATATTCAATACCATTATCAGACCTGATTCTTTTGATATTTTTTCCAAATTGATTTTAGACAAGATGAAAAAATTAATAAAGATTTGGAAAATTTCTGATTTATTTTTCATAAGGTATGTCCATGTGATACGAGTACAATCGTCAATAAAAGTAACGAACCATTTGGCTCCAGAAATAGATTTTATGACAGGTCCCCAAACATCATAGTGAATTAAATCAAATGGATAAGTACTTTTTTTTATTACTAATAAGATAAGATGCACAATGGTGTTTTGACAATTAACAAAATTTCACAGTTAAAA